CTGTTCTATGATTGTGTGCAATTGCATCCGTAGCTATCGTTGAGGTTCTCTTAGATTCCTTATCTTAATAGGGCCTACCAATCTTGATTTTGTTAGGATCTTATGCTCGGACATCCTGAATGACCCTAGTAGACTCCTCCTACATTTGGAAGGAGTTCAAAGGATTCGATTAACTAAATTACCTTGCCCAACTGGATCGGTAGGATAGTTTAGCCTACAAAGCTTGTTTCTAAGCTAATTTGTAGGTTTAAATGCCACTCTAATTCCAGTCTTGTGCAGAATGTCTCTGAGATGTCTTCCTTTTATGATAATACTGTAGAGGTTATTATTATTATCATTGTTATTATTATTATTATTACTGTTAACCGCGGGTTGCTAACATAAGTCATATTTTTCTAAAGATTACTAATGAATTTTAAGGTTAACGGGATTTTCATTCTGAGATAGTATTCAACACGCACTGATATCAGTTGGAGAAGGGAAGTAGGTGCCAACTGAAGACCTTTAAGTGACAGTCGCATTACTTCGCCAATTAACAGAAGTTGGAAACTGTGAACCATTGAAATTCGACCAAGTAGCTGGATGATTAGCACGTACTCCGTGAAACCTGAGGGTTCTGAGTTCGATCCCCAGCTGTGTCGTGGGCGTATGCCGCTAAGGAGTTCCATACTACGGTGAAACAGTTGTCCAGTTCACCCAGGTTTTCGGTGATTCGCCAGCTGACATCAATTCGTGATGAATACTACCTCAAGATTATTAATGGATTTGTTACTTAATTATTGATAAGTGTGGTGTCTTTATTGCACTTAGTTTCTTGTCTTAGATCCCCAGTTTTAATGATAAATTTTATGGCCCTCTTTCTCAAATGTTTTACTAAGCCAACTGTTACTGATACAGAGTGAGATCATATGAAGTCTAAGTAACGATTCGAGTGTGAATGCTTTCAATGGCTTAGTCAAGTATCATAGAGAGAAAAAGAATCTAGAAAAAGGTTCGGTTATAGCTATGCATGTGAATGTACGCAGTCACACAACTGGATACGACAAGCTAACATTCCTTACAACTACCTCAGTTGAGTGGAGAGAGAACCACCATTTAGTGCATGCAAAAGGAATGACTCAACACATGTTTCGGGTATACATAAAATCCTAATACCCATATCACAAAGGAGGCGAGAAAGTTAGAACTATATAAACCATGTTTCAAAGTTGACATAACTATGCACAATAAATTATATCAGAAACGTAATAAAGTAAACAATACTGTTACACTGTGTGATGGCATCTAGTCATAAATCTAGTGCTCATTGGTGACTAGTTTGAGAGGTGATTACCGAAGTTTCAATGAGAATTCTTGACCAGTGGAGCCAACCAAATGAACATGGGGACAGTTACTCACAAACGGCATTGGGTGGTGGCTATGCTATATCGTGAAGTGACAGAAAGAGGAAATATAAACCGTTAGATTCCTACCCAGTGGTTCAATGATAACGTGCTGGCCACGGAACCTGAAGGTCCTGGGTTAGATCCCTGGCGGGTCAGGATCATGGGTGCACACTACTGAGAAGTCCCGTACTAGGGAAAAAAAGCTGTCCAGTGCTCCCATATTTCCAATGTTTCTCCAACTAATATCAGTCCATGATGAATACCAACCTAAACTGGAACACTTGGAGAAAGAATAAAACTGACTGTTCGCTTGTACACTGTCTAATGGTTTTGGATGGAGGATTTGATTTTAAGAAAGTGGTGTCATTCATATTCATCTCGAAGTAAGTAGATAAGTAGATAATCCGACTAGTTTGCACATTATTGTTCATTGAACTGCTTGGAGGATTGCATTTATCTAGGTGACTAGCAGCAGAATCCAGGACACGTGTTTCTTCTGATTTGGACTCGTTAGCTAGACGTACCTGCACATCAATGAGTAGTGTTGTTCCCACGGAGACTCGAACTCAATACCCATCACTTCAAGCACCGAAGTGTTATCCACTAGGCCACTGGAACACAAGAGCCACCACGTGTGCAACGGATATCAATTGTTGTTTTGATATTGTAATTTCCCATTGCCATACGGGGCCAAACTGCTCGACCTCTGTAAGCAAATGTGCTCCTATGCGGAAGCCTTAATACTGCCTGGATATTCATGGTGTTGTATCCATCTTGGTTGGAGCATTTTCTGACGATCCTGGTTGAATTTGTCAGTTGTAATGAGTAGTGCTAGACACCCCATGATCGTGTACAAAATGAGATTCGTGTAAGAACCTGAAAAACTAACAATCCACCAACTTGTGGTCACGTTTTTCCAACAACTACTGCATCGATATTTTGATGTAAGTTACAACGGGACAAAAACAGTGTCACATGAAGTAATTCGGTAGTATTGTCTTAAAAATTCACCAGCTCCTATGAGACGTTATTTGGTATGCTGATATGATAGTAACAATATATCGGTCTGCGAAATGTGATTTCAGTCATCTATATGAGTTAGTGTGATTGAGATGCAGAGTTTTTATACTGATTCTTCGACTACAAGATACATTCGACTTTGACACTTTTATACTCATCACATCACTTCAAATGTCAATTTTAGCGCCAAAGGACTATTGAAATATCTTGACTTTCTGGTCTGATGCATCTGCCAGAAGTTAATTAGTTTCCTTATTATTCTGTCGTTTCAATATGGCTTCTACTACAAACTGTCCAGTTACGACAATACGTTAGGATAAGTGTTATGCATTTCAGCGTGGAGTGACATATCGGTTTATTCAAATCAGCCAGACAGTCAGTTGACCTGATTTAGCTAACAATTTTCCTTCTTTTACGAGTTGAATTTATTAGTGAATATTCAATATGAACTCAAGCCCCCGAAAAGACAAAATCTCAGATCGGATACAGAAACCTCATTTAGCATTAACAACTCGCGTCATCTGTGACACCAACTGACCAGACATCCAACCATCTATCAAAGGATCAGTATACTGCATTGCAGTCCGTCCTGTCATGTTGTATGGCTGTGAGACATCCACGTTGAAAGTAGAAGACATGAAGCGATCACAAGTGTTTGATCATAGGTGTCTTCGTAGCACTGCTCACGACGTTTGGGTGATGAAACACCATGTGAGCAATGTCGGGGTTATTCAAAGGGTATAAGGCAAGACAGGCAAGTCAATTGATGCGGTTGTGAACCTCAGTCGATTGAGATGACTTGGATATGTGCTGCATAAGACAAACTACCACCTACCTCGATCTACAATGCTAGAGGAAGTTGGATTAGTTTGGGAGAGTGGTCAGGGTGACTAGACCAGGATCTGGCAACAGTCAATGAGATCTCTTACTATTGCCTTGAGTCATATGTGGAGACGCAGACCACCTGGCTGGGGTCCGCAGTACGATCGGAATCAGTGGTTGGAAACTCTTGTTGACATGCCTGAGAATCGGTCACAATGATGCAGCCCTACTTACACCTTGACATATTCTAAGGGTTCAATATCTGCACTATCCGTTATCTTCGACTTGTTTATCCCTTCATACAACTTTGCATCACTCTTTTTCTATCCATTTTCTTTTTGTGTACTCCCATGGAATGTGACAACTTGAGCCGACGCACCCGTGGGGGAGGTTCTACGTTGGTTTTGTCTGTCGGTTTAAATCACTCTATCGTCTAGGTAACAAAATTTGTTGATAAGCGTGAGTGGTATGAAACTACTCATTTGTATTAGTAGTATCCACATGTATTTTTTCTTTTAATTTTATAGAATAAGTTTAGTTTGTTATCTATTTTATCACTCACAGCTGATTTATCACATCTAGTGTTGACATGGAGCAACACAGATTCTGCTTATTTCTTCATTATTCCCAATTACATTGCCAATATGCCCGTGTATCACAGAGGTTGTACTTACAAGACTTCTGGTATGACAACAGAACGTTCACAGACCAAATCCCTAGAAGACTTAAAAATACCTAGTTGAATAGCAATGCAGTGGTGACTTGCTTCTAAATAAACTGTCTGAAATTCCAGTAAGAAACCATGACTTGTGGGATTGAGGCGTGTGGACCAATAAATGATTCAAACTTGTTATTACATAGATTGGTGAGAGAAAGATGGTAGCCAGTGAAAGTGTTTCTGAGAAAGATGGGTGTCCTATAAATTCTTGAGGACAGGTGGCGAGACAGATGAACGGAAAGAAGGCTTTTATAGAAATTTACTTCAGCTGTTTACTATTCAAGTTCAGTCTGACTGGAATACAAATAGTAGTCCTCTAAATTACACAGAAGTTGGCAAGGCTACTTGAAAAGGAATACGGCAAATGTTTGATGGGAATATCTATTTTCACCGTTCTGATGCGAAATTTGTTACAGATATACCGATATGGATGACTTTTTTGAGACTAATTTACTGCCGAGGTACATTCTGGATGATCCAAAGTGCATAAATGCAATAGTAGCATCATGCAAAAGTACTGAAAACCTAAATCAAGAATCTGACTTTATTTGTTATATGCGTTTTGCACCTGCAAAGTGTAACAAGATACCACCATATCGGTTAGCACAGACTTGTTATTTAATATGATAAGGAGTGAATTTCTTGAGTCCGCTGAAAAATTCGTCTGTTTGAGAAGTTGCATCAACTGTAACTGCCCAGTTACTGTCAAAAATTGGACATTAATAAAACGTTTTCCATCGCTTACCAACCTACATCGTCCCTGGCGCCGAAAAGATAGCCAGATTCCTGTAAAAAAAAAGGACGGAAAATTAACCAGCCTCTGAAACACTAGTACCTGCTTGTTGTTTGTTGGGTTGTAGGCTAGTAGTGCAATGTAAGACAAGCGTTTCAACCGGTACAGGACTCATCAGCTGAACATGTATGTGGTGTAAACACAATAAGGTATATCAGTTACGCCGCCAACGGAGAAAAATAATCAGACTAGAATTTTCAAATTTCGCTTGGTGTTTTCACTGACAGCACCAGAGAAAAAGGAGGAGAAAAAATCAACACGGAAAAAGGGATTATTTATTCTCATAATTAGCAATTTAAACCATTTCATTTGCAGTAAAAAGAAACTTTATACAAGCATATATTGTTTGTTTTTGTGTAGAGAGAGAGAGAAAGAAAAATCTACGGATTCATATTGCTTCATTTAGATAGAAATGCGCTCTGAAGAAAACAAAACATATCCAGCTTGAAAAAGGAACAGTTAATCATCAACGTAAATATTAGTTACTACTATTAGTTACAATGATAAAAATATTGTGCAATAAGGGAAAAATGGACTTCATCGCTTGAAAACAAGTTATTTTATCTTTAAAAGAAGCCAATAGGCCAAGTACAGAACAAAAATGACAAACTTTTTGATATGTGCGGTAGGATACGATTAAAATAATTTTTTTCTTTTCTTCAAAAAACAATTGAAAAATGTTTTAGTGAACAAGAAAACATTACCATGAAAATATGTAGTATTATTCAAAATCAAACGTTATAAGAAGGTAACAGGATCAAAAATCTTCTTCTTATTGCCTCATCATTTTTATTTGGAATGAGCACTCAAGCAAAGAATTGTGTTCTCCTCGTGTGATATGTAGATAACGTGGGTGTGTCAATGTTTCAAGAAAAATGTATATGGTTGGTTAAACTACTTATAAGTAGCTTACTTCTGTTTAGTTAAAATAACCTGCAGACTTTCTGAATTGATAGCCTCGTTCGAAGCTAGAGGTGAGACGGAAAGTTCAACACCGTCATAATCATTATTAGTATTAGTATTATCGCTATTATCCATATTTATTTTCCTCTCAGAAAGGCTATTCACCAAATGACTCGAAAAGAGAACACACAAGGCAGCTTGGTAGTTGATATGCTACTGTTCATGGGTTGGTGATGATGCGATGTGTGCGTGTAAAATTAACAGAAAGCAAAAACAATTGAAAACAAATTCATTAAACAAAAAAAACACAAAAAGGGAGGGAAATCAATTCTTTACTGAAATCTGTAAATGAATAAAATAATCTCAAAAAACATAGGAGCCAAAATTAAACGATATTAAGATATGCAAGTTTAGGGTTTTCTCAACCAACCAGTCAGTAAAGGCAAATACTGGATATTTCTTGTCCTCAACAGCTATCCACACACACACACACAGGTGGGAATGTCTCACTGTGTGTCGGTACATCGTGAGGAATAATTAATAGTATAACTACTATCTATCCATCTTTATGTAAGACAAGGAAGCTTCATAAGAGAAAAATTAAAATCAAATCATCAAATTAATTAATAAATGCCTTGGTGACAGTAAGACAGGAAAGGCAAAGTAAATGGAGAAAAAAGGAGGTTAAAAATAATATTAGTGAGGATTTTTAAAAACTATAATTTAAATGCGAGTTTCGACTTAGAAGACAATGAAAGTACTAATGAATAAACGACGCTGATATGTAGATTAAACGAAATACAAGAACTGGCCAAAGATACTTCAAGAATCCTGTGTATGATCAGTGTATACAGTTTTTGAAGGAGATAGATAATCTCCGTTAGTTAAACCAAAAACAAAAAATAACAGAACAGAATAGAACAGCTTAAGGACTAAGCATATGCATACATAAAAACAACATTGAGAAGTGTAAAATAGTCAAAGTCAACTAATGCGTAATCTAACAGAAAATCTAACATCTAAACAATTGTATCCCAATTAAAATCTTCAGGTCCATTGCCAGCATTCATAGTTGAGTTGTTAGTATTTCTAGTGGTATTGTGAAGATTAAATGAATTCATGATATTGATTGAAGTAGATTGTTCCATTTGTGACTGACTGGCATCATGATAGACTGTTGACACAAGCCTGAATATCTCAATCGCTTAACAATCTATTCTGATTATGCATAAGTAATGATGAGCCAGTGTATTCAGAGGAGAATGGAGGTGATGAAGTACAGGTGGGTAGTATAGGCGTATTGACAGTAGTAGCAGTGACAGAGGCAGTTGTACATAAGGATAAATGACTAGAGTCATTATTCATAAAATTCTGTGTTATAGGAAATCTATAATCTGTTGTGCAGTGTTGCCTAGAATTAGGCGTAAAGTGCTGCATTTCATTGGCTGAAGTCCCTTGTTCAATGTTCAATAGATTCTTTTTGTTTGAATAGTATAACAGTGAGTTGTTATTATTACTGGGAATATGAAACGCATCCAATATCGCAGAAGTCACATTACTATTATGCCCAAAATTTCCACTATGCTGTTGATGATTATGACTCTCTAGGACTGAGTGAACATCGTTATTGATGTGTATCTTAAACTTTGAATGAGTACTATTAGTAGCAGTAGTAGAAGTAGTACTAGTACCATTATCATCATTATCACTAAACAACATATGATAACGAGGATTATGTTGACTGAATTGGTCATGTGACTGGAAAAACCGATTTGATGATGAGTCATTTTGAAGTTCGGACAAGTTTGTGGATGACTGTGGTAGAACAGTGACTAGATTAACGAAATTCTGTGGAATTGTTGTCTCCTCGTTTGTATTCAACAATAATTTCATACAATTATTACTAATATTATTATTATTATTATTATTATTTGTATTTAGTAATTCTGAATAAATGAAATTATTATTTTCACTTATATGTAAAGAAGAGTCGACTAAGATATCTGATTGCACAGGCGTGAAATAAAATGATACAGGATTATTGTTGATAGTTGAATCTGTGAATTCATTTGAATTATTTGTATTATTGCTGCCAATACTACTATTATTATTATCATCATTATTAGTATGCAATTGTTGTTGTTTTGCTTGAGGATGTGATAAATGGAAAAGCGTGTGTTGTTGATCGTAGTGATGATGATGATGATGGTGATGACGTCGATTATCATGACAATTCGCAATTGAAAATGGAGTATGTGATTCGTCGTAAGCTGCATAGTTATCAGAGTAGACTAAATGCAAATTAACATTTGAAAAAAAATATCAATGATTAAAATATGTACATGGGTAGACGTGGATATATATGTAAATTCGGTACATGCAAGTGGTCTGTCAACAAGAAGCTATACCTAAACTGGGTTTCGTGTTTGTTAGCATTCATCAGTAAGGTGCGTTTGCAATTCACTAAACCGTAGCTACATCACTTGCCCTAATACTAATGACCAATTCGTGTACATTTTCGAGTTGTGTTTTTCTAACGACAGTTACTTAAACCGATGCTTTTCACAATCCCACAAAGTATCTAAAAATGTACTTTATCATAACTAAGTGTTGGGTTTCATCAGATAATCTGCTAATTAATAGCCTATGAACTCACCTACCTTCATAAAAAGAACCCTATTGAATTGCAAACTAAAAACTGGAGTTACGGCTCACTGAATCTGTTGAAGTCTACAGATCAGAACAAGTATCTTCTAACTACTCATGTTCTTCAGTAGTATATTTCGTTGGTTTGTGACATTTTTATCTTATAGGTCACACCCTGTGATGTTGTCTGCCGCAGGAAGGGGATGCGTTTCCAACGGAAACCTTGTTGACAACACATTAGGGTGACAGTGGAAAAAGAACTACTTAACTGTGAGAAATGTCATCGTGGACTGTGCGCAGCCTAGAAATTATCTGCAAATTAATCATCCAATTTAAAAATAACAAATAAGCTCACCAGATGTTTTAGGCATGTTTATTTCGTTGTTTTCAATTTTAACTGAAGTCCATATGAGATTTTGGTGATCATTTGAGGATACTTTATTAGATGACTGATTACTAGCGGGGGTGTTGGCGTTGGCTGCGGAGACGGCATCATCATCAGCAGTAGTAGTAGTAGTAGCACTACCTCTAAAATCTTTACAGTTAATGTAATTATGCAAAAGGTCATCTGAAACATGTTCATAAGCCTGTAGGTCAGATAAAAGAGTAATGTTTTTATTATTGTCATTATCATTGTTAATTGCACTATCAGTTGTCGACGCTAAACCAACAGATGTGACAACACTATTATGACAATCCGACTCATGAAAGTTCGACCCATTCAATGAAGAAGTGAACCGTATATTCTGTGGGTTATGTAACGGCAGACTGTCAGCATTGTCACCACTGTCCTGCAGCTTATGTTTAAAGTGATAATGAAGATTTGTGTTGGAAGCAGCAGCAGTAGCAGTCGTAGTACTAGCTATACCATCTGTAGTATAACTACAACTCATGGGTTCTGTTTGAATTTCTGTTACACACATACTTTGTTGTTGCCTTTTTCTATGGTTTTTTTCATAAATTTGAAATCTTATTGAATTATTATTGGGAATAAACTGAGATGGTAATGATGATGAAGGGATGGTTGTGCAAGAAAAGGAGGAGGCAGCGGCAGCAGCGACGGATGAAGAACACGAAACAGAAGAAGAAGAAATCACAGTATCTACAGCAGATATATTCTGCTGAATTTGACTGAACACTTGGTCAAGTATTAAATTCAACTCCATTAACTGTTCCATAGTAAGACTATTAGGATTTTGACTAACATTACGGATTTTAGATATTAACTCTACATTGAGAGGAGGAAGAAAAGAAAAAGGCAGTATAAAAAGAAACTAAAAAGGATAAACATTTGAGTATGGAATATAACGAATTATCTTTGAAGTTTATGATCACTACAACTATTATTATTATTATCATCAGCATTATTTCGATCGAATACCTCATTTTTATAAAAAGGACGCCTGAAAGTGACCCACCACAAAAAAAACATGTTTTTGGAATCAACTGGAAAGTCACAGTGATCATGGAGCACTACACAGCTGTTTCGTTCCAGTTTCCCGAATTCTTTTTGAGAGGTGCACTTATAGGGATTTGCAGAAACGGGCCTAGGGCTAACACATCATGCAGTGAACACATCAACGTAGTGAAGTCCTTTTTGTGAGTTAACAGACAAAATGATTTGCGTTTACTTTGGGTTACCAGAGCCATAACTATCCGATGACTTCAACTGGAATTGTATGTGTTCTAAAAGAGACGGTTACTAATTTATTACTGTCCTGTGAATTACTTACTTCTCATCCTCTCGCCTTTTCAGAAATTTCAAAACCTCTGGTTTATGCTTATTGCTATCCACGTTCATAGTAACTACTATCTCAAGACTATTGTATCTGTTAGTATTATGATAATTTACCTCACCAACTCTATTTAGAAAGTTCATAGTCAATGCTCCAGATATTGAGTGATGATTGAAGGTGGGATGGAAATTTGAATCTCGTAGTTCAGTTGGTAGAGTATCTGGCCGGAAACTCGGTGGTCACTGGTTGAAATCTCGTCACGGTCAAAATTTTCATTTCACCTTCAATCATCACTTATTACCAGTACTAGTCTGCCAAACCATCACTATCTCAGATAGTCAAAAAAGAGAATTTTTTTGATAACAATTGTAAAGTGTTTTCTACAGTAAACAAACTTTGTTAACTGCTAGCACAGGGAACTTTTACATAGCCAATATCTACCAAAAAGTATGCTTGAGAAAAAGTTAAAACTAATCGACTGCACCACATAGACAAAAAGGTGAAACTGTCAATACTAGTATAGCATATCTATCTAACTTTAATAAAAATAAATAAAGGAGTAAATATTCAGTTATCATTAGTTATCAGACACACAAGTAGACAATTCATACAATAACACTAAGAGTTTTGTACATACTTGGGCGTGGCAATAAATTCCAACTACGCATGGATAAACAGAGTTACGCCTACGTTTTTACCTGCAGGTTGGAATACATAAATATTGATTTATCCTTTGTAAATCTTATCATTCTACGTGTGTACCATTTCAAACAACGCATAAAATTATATATCATCTTATATTTCAGTGTTATCCCCTCTCCCAGAAACCTCTGTAACAGCAACGTCATCATCATCACTGTTCATGAAATAATCAGAGTAATCGATACAAAAGAATAACTATCACCAACATAGTCACCATCATTACAGTTTATATCTGTCTAGACTATGGAATAAACTCTTATGCAAGTAGAATTCAATTAACTCTACAAATTATTAATTATTTATACATAATGAAGTTGTGGAGACAAAACCAAGATCAACTGAAAGGAAAAACAAGGAAGACGTTTCTTCCTTTAACAACAAAGAAGAAGGTCTCAAGCTTTAAATGGTTTCATCTTTATTAGTAGGTGGATTGGTTGTTAAGATAATGCGTTTTCAACTTTCAGTTCACTGGACCATTTTAGTTGCCTAATTACTATACACATTTACTTCTGTCTGTGTACTGTAGATGTAGTGTAGTCCACAGCTTAGAAGACAAAAGTGTGTAGTAGATTTTTCATTTGCTTCTTTATATACAGATAAAGCAGTGGGTGGAAGCTTCTTGCACTACATCTTTTACAGAGATCAACTAGAAAAGACGACTATGATAATGAGGATTTGGCAGATAGTATCTGCAATATAAGTGTGAAACTTTGGCAATGTGATGATATTTAACTCCATGTTTATTTGTTTATTTGATATATCGTACACAGTGACATAATTTAATTTACTGATTGACGTTTCAAGCACAATTTACTACTCTTAGTCATATCAACATAGTTACAAAAGCTCAGATGCCTGGGTTCTTTTTAAATTCTGTCAATTATCATTTCTTGGTTTCATTAACAGTAGGATTCTCCATACATTCGTATTAGGTGTTGATTCAACATACAAAGGTTCAGTAATCAGTCTCTCTCTCTCCACCTAACTATACTGGACTTTAAAACAGTTTCGCTTCTTCATGATATTGTATGATTGGGTGTTGGTGCATGCATGTATTGCAATAGCTGAATGCCCTTCAAGATTACTGGTCCCATTAGGATTCATACGATTCAGCTAGCCAGATTCAGGTGATGTGAATAATTCGGCTCTGTGAGCTGAATTTGTCCGGGTACACCGTCGATGAGCTCAGGTCCAAATGAGCGAAACAACCGTCTAGTGTTTAGACCAATATGAGCGGGATGGCGAAATCTACAGATCATCCTGCATAGTTTTTAACTATTTAGTTTGTTCAGGAGTATATTTCACCAGATTAAAGTCCCTGACTTTAGCACTCAATGGTGCAAACTAGAATCACCAAGGGAACACTAATTTCCTCATGATCGGAGACACGTCATGCTGATGAGTGCCAACAAGCACGAAGCCCGCGTCGAATAGGGTTTCCTGCTGTCTCTCAACAGTTAACAACAGAAGGATGTAGGCAAGTTAATTTTTTCCCAATCTCGGTTAAGTTTATTGTCACTAGTATTTCAATGCTCTCGATGACACATTAGTCAGTTTAACAATATGGAAGATAACAGTTTTCCTGCACAGCATCTTACATTTACTGATAATGTAAAAAAACTACCTTGAGTGATTGTTTTTCCCCATGAGTTTTCTATTAACTGGTTACTCATGTACCCTTCAAGTCTTAATTATTGATTCAAATCAATCGATGAAGTTTTTAATTAAGCCCATTAAGCTACACTACACTGAGGCTCACTGTCTACAATGTTGTACGTCAAATTTGATTCATACTCGGTGGGTATATCGCTGACTTCAGCACTGATCAGTGTAAGCTCAAGTTTTAGACAAAATATGAATTTGCTCAAAGTTGTAAGTATATTTTCCTAATGAATATCAACAAGCAGCGAATTCTATCCAATGCCTCCTAAAATCTCATGGTTTTTCTGTTAAGTTTAGCTTTTTCTTGAGAAATAACATTTTTGTATCCTCATTTTTGCTTTCATTTCGTGGACAACAGTAGACTGGTTAAATTATCAAAGCGGTTGTTTATTCGACTAAGCAGTTGGTAGACAACAAATTGATTTCAAATAGCTTTTCAGCATGCATTTGCATCATACGATGAACAACTGAGAAACTGAGAACACTAGTAGGCCATTTCTTCCTATTTTAGGACTACTCAACGGTGTACACCTACGACCTAGTAATGAATCGAGCCCGAGGTCACCAGATCTTCACGCAAGCACCTTACAATATTTCAGTGGGATGGTGTCACCTGTGAAGTAAACTACATTGTGTTTGGAGACAAATCATAGTCAGTGACCTGGAAAACAGTACTGCTGTTTCGCTAATTGCCAGAAGTTAAAAACGATCCATTACAGTCGGACACAGTGTTTGAATGATTGCAAGGTCACTCTGAGATCTGATGATCCTGGGCAGAATCCCTTATGAAGTTGTGCATGCGCACTGTTGAGAATTCTCAAATAGGATTCATTGGTCCAATTGGTTCTCCGGTTGATGTCATTATTTCGATATTTTGAGTTCATGTTTCCGTAGGTGCACAACGGTTGTCTGTCGTGACTGTGAACCAACCAATCATAAACTCGTATCATCTTGTTACCACAGCAGCTTACCATTTCAAATGATAGAAGGATACATGTTTAGGCTTCGATTAACAATAGTCATTTTTTTGTCACAAATATCAGTTATTAGAAGACGCAACAGTTTTTCTAATTTCAGTATGATGAAATGTACTAGATATGAAAGAACGCTAAAAGTATTAAAACAATACACAATGTGTCCGTATACTTATTGGGTTCTTGTGACAACCATAGGGTAATTAATTTGACTAAAGTTGTGTCCAAGATCCTAGGCTCCATAGTTATCCAAAGCATATTTCTTGACGTGAAGGCGGCATCCCACTCTGTTGGCTTTGAGGTGTTGTGACAGTGTCTGAATGTGAAAGGAGTACTGAGCAAGTATATGACGCTAATCAAAGCTCTCTACTCAAACTCATGCAGCTATCTCAGGGCTTATGGAGGGTTATGATGGCTAGTGACTAGCAGTGGAATCCAAGATCCCACAGGGATTCGCTCCCGAGTCCGAATCCCGATGGGGAAAATATGACTCACTGGGAAGCAGGTCTATCCAGTAGACGAGCCTTAAATAGGATGAAATGCGCATCCTGGATTCCACTACTAGCCACTATCCATCATTACTATACAACACAATTAAAACACAGGTAATATCGAGGCATCCGCACAGGAGCCCATGTGTCAATAGAGACCGATCAATTCGGTCCAATAAACGACAGTATAATACAAGCAATTATACTTATGGGGATTTGTCATGTGAATTGACGATAACTAGTGGTATCCGCCAGGAAGTCCCATTGTCATTGTTACTACTTAACTTCGTTATACACGTACTAATGGACATAAGCTTAGGTATGTTTGACTTCATAGGGACTGATCTGCTACCTGAAGGTCATTTGCTTGACTTGGAGTATGCAGACGATACTGTCCTGCTAGATGAAGACGCTGACAAAATGTAGGTTATTCTGGACGCACTCATGAGAAACCTGAATGTGTTTGGAACGCACTTTGCAACTGTTGAATGTAAGATGATGTTCCAGGACTGGTTTGATGCAAGTACTCCGAGTGTAATCATAGGGAGTGAAGTGGTGGGATGTATCAAATACTTCAGTTACTTGGAAAGTTCCTTCAGCCCAAATAAGTTAGTTGCCGACGAAATCTCAGAGCGGATACAGAAACCTCATTTAGCATTAACAACTCGCGTCATCTGTGACACCAACTGACCAGACATCCAACCATCTATCAAAGGATCAGTATACTGCATTGCAGTCCGTCCTGTCATGTTGTATGGCTGTGAGACATCCACGTTGAAAGTAGAAGACATGAAGCGATCACAAGTGTTTGATCATAGGTGTCTTCGTAGCACTGCTCACGACGTTTGGGTGATGAAACACCATGTGAGCAATGTAGGGGTTATTCAAAGGGTATAAGGCAAGACAGGCAAGTCAATTGATGCGGTTGTGAACCTCAGTCGATTGAGATGACTTGGATATGTGCTGCATAAGACAAACTACTACCTACCTCGATCTACAATGCTAGAGGAAGTTGGATTAGTTTGGGAGAGTGGTCAGGGTGACTAGACCAGGATCTGGCAACAGTCAATGAGATCTCTTACTATTGCCTTGAGTCATATGTGGAGACGCAGACCACCTGGCTGGGGTCCGCAGTACGATCGGAATCAGTGGTTGGAAACTCTTGTTGACATGCCTGAGAATCGGTCACAATGATGCAGCCCTACTTACACCTTGACATATTCTAAGGGTTCAATATCTGCACTATCCGTTATCTTCGACTTGTTTATCCCTTCATACAACTTTGCATCACTCTTTTTCTATCCATTTTCTTTTGTGTACTCCCATGGAATGTGACAACTTGAGCCGACGCACCCGTGGGCGAGGTTCTACGTTGATTTTCAACCAGTCATTCAGTTGTTTCAGGGAGATTTTCCTTGGAAGCAATGAGAATCTCAGCGAATACCTGTTTTAGTCGAAGTCTCATCAGTCTGCTCTAGCTTTATATACAATACTTCACACTAAGAAATATACATGCTTCTAGTAATTATATGGAGTTGAATATTCACAGTTATCTGTGCATATAACCAATTTCGGGATCAAAATTGTGTAACATTTTACTTTGAAGGATTTCGGATAATAAATGCATAAAAAGAATTTGAAAGTGCCTAGAAGCAAACACTTCTGAACTTTAGGTCCGAGAGCAACAATGCGACCAAAATTATTGTGGACAGACTTCAAAGCTTATTGAAGAGAAAGTTTTCAACAATTATCCTGAGATTACCTTTCAGCAATAATGTATCCTATTGCTATGTATGAAAGATGGGATTTCTCATATACCCATTTTAATGCTTATTTATGAGTTCAATTAATTATTGCCATGGAGTCAGTTATCTGTGATGCTATGTGAAAACTCATTTCCAAAATGAGAAAGAATGTCTCCCAGTATGATAAGTCAAAGGAGAAGAGCAAAGAAGACTACCAATTTCATTCGGTACGAAACTGTAGACACCAGTCCCCTCCCTTGGACCTGGTTTACGCTAAACCCCAAGATACCGAAACGGATACCACAAGAAATAAGAATTCATGTACTTCAAATTGAAGAAAATATTACAATCAAAATCTAAGCTTTGCATACAAAATACTTTGTACTTTTTCTTGTTCAATTCCCTCCATTGAAAACGAAAATACAAGCAAAATAAAACCTTATAGGATAAACATGAATATCGGTTATCGGTTAAACGTGGCTATTTAGATCAGTATGTATAACATTATGGTGATTGAAGTGATAAATGATAGCTGCATATACTAATGCCAAGACACCAGTATTAAAGAGATAACACCAAGTAGCTATTGACTTTCAGTCAGTGATTTCTAGGTTCAAACCCAACCCCATGTCATTCAGTCTGAAAACCTGGGTAGTGGGTATCATAAGCCGTTACATAATAGGTGTGGAGCAAAATTACTCATACATTTACCAGGTCTGGCTCACAACAATATTATTTATACTGATTTTCAAAAAATTCAATTGGATAGTCAGTTGTGGACAACATCTTGACACAAACAGACAAGAAATAAATCAGCATATTTACACTAACCTGGATATTCATCAAGATTGACGCTGGTCCAATCAAAGTTTGTAGCAGCTTGTAAAGTTCTTTGTAGTACATAATTTAGATTCATTGAATTATCATTGTTATTTAATAATTGGTTTGTTTTCATTACATTTGAAGATTTATTGAAATGGTTAGGACTGTCATGAAGATAAATCGATCGGAATGTAGATGGAGGCGATGAATAAGAAGAAGAGTATAACGTGGAGGAAGACGAGTAGAACGGAGGAGAAGCAGACGAAGCGGCACAAGATATGAAATTCTGATCTGTTGATAAATCCCACATTTGATTATATGAATTCAGTAGATGTGAATTCGTATTCATAATATTCTCTTTATTTGCTATGCCAATTGAATCAATTGTTATATCTTTGAATGATGTTGCAGTTAGTTTGTTGCCTAATGAAGAAGTTGGCTGGTTAGAGATATCCGACGATGAGACTGTTGTATTCTGCATATCTGTAACTGGATGTGACAGTTCTAAAGTATGTAAAGAAGAATTAAATCGATTTCACTGATTGACAAACACAAGAGTATCACTATCAAAACTCCAGAGTGGTACCAAAGTATCTTCAACTGGCAACATACCAACTTACAAATCTCTTATTACTCATATTCAATCATATGAATCAATATTGCTTAGCACCTGCTCTCTGGCCCAATATCCTTTTGGTTATTCGTAACCCAAATGTAGTCAGGGTTACAGGAAAAAAATTTGATTTCCCCTGCGATATGATGCAGTCGTTCACATTGAAATTAACTATGGAACGTTTAATTATCAATCTATGTGAATCAAATGACTGTAAAAGGATGCACGTTGCCTTGTGAGTCACTTTCCAATCGTAAGAATGTCAACAAGTCTTTGTCATCATGTGATTGAGAAGCTATATCTTAGAACTGTTACAAAAAAACACAGGAAAAGCATTTTCAAACCAATGCTACTCACTAAAGTAGAATGCGTTTGTTTTCTTACTATTCAAAACTACAAAAACACTTCACAGTAATCATTTTCAGTAACCCACTCCTGAAAGACTATAGCTAAACAGTAAAGAGTATATAGAAGAAATTTGATGGAAGTAGTTAATATCATGTGTAGATAGAACCGAATGGATTTAAATTTACCGTAGTGAAAATAAACTTTTTGCTTTGTCTAATTGAAATGCATATTCCTAGCCATCACCTACCTCGATGTGCAACCCCAACCACGGTACGATTGAGTTGGAGTAAAGGTCAATTTGGCTGGAGCAAGACGTAATGTTAGTTTATCAAGTTATCGACAGTTGATATGAGTTGTGTTCAGGGGACTCAATCTACCGGACTCGAGTCCTCAAGGCAACAGGAATCGATGGCTGAAAGCTCTCGGTGATATGGTTGAAAATCCGTCAGATTGGCGCAAATATGTGTAATCTTCTTCTTTTTCGAAGTCTTGAATATTTTCATTGACCTTCATCTATTCCTCGGTTACACCTTTTCCGTTTTAACGTCAATCTTTTTCTGTGAATAGTTCCAAAGCGAACTGATATACTAATATGTCTTACACAAAAACACATCACACGCTAAGTATTAGGCGGTCAAGTAAATGAGCTGCAATAATCAGATAAAGGCAAGTAGTTGTTCAGAGACATATTGCGTTCCCTTATTCTCATTTTACTGTCCAGCATACTAATGTACTTATGTGAGGTGTAGTGAATTAGACTGCTACGCAGTAATGACAGGTCACGTGTTTGTATTAACTGACTGAATCCACACAGCCATTCCAGGATGATAGGCAATCGTGAAACGATCTTCTACATCCACAATCATATTGCTTAATCTAATTACTGAACTACTTTTTTGTACAACTTGGTTCATCGCTAACAGTATCTGATGTTTTTTTTAGAGTTTTACACTGACAACTATCACATACAGCGAACTACAATCCTGTATTGACTGATCATCTGCTGATGACGACGTAAACTTTATCACATGCTGAAAATAATATCATATTGATTAGTGCTCAGTAGAAGACAAATGTAGAATTGGCGCTTTTTGGTTTAGGCAGTTGACTTTCAAAAAGAGGGTCATATGTCCAAACATCGCTCCAGCTACCAAGGTTTGAGCATTTAGGTAGTATCAGGAGCTGTTACATAATAGGTGTGGCTAGCTGCCTATTGCACGAATGTATACAAGTTTACTGAGTATGTTTCAACTTCGCTTCCAGGAGACTGCTGTCTATAAAAGGCTGGATTTGCCTCACTTTTAATAGATTGACGACTACAACAATAGCACTAAACGGGATCGACCCATGGTGTAAAGGACAGATACAGAATTGCAGTCGAAAAAATCAGTAGGATTTTGAAAAAGAGAACAACAATGAACCACTACTTCACTTAAACTTACCAGAACTGTCAAAAAGTGCATGATATAAGTATCGAAATGATGCGCTTAAGTCCAATTCACCCGTGGAAAAACTTGATCTCAATGATTGATTTTCACACTGTTCTTCTTCATCTTCTTCTTGTTCTACGTATTCATCTTCTTCCTCAGCTACCTGTGCTGTCATCACTTTATTATCTTGTGGCAGATTAGATGAATGATCTGACTGAATCATATAAAAGTCAACAATAGTTGATGACGAAGATGATGATGATGATGAAGACAATGATGATTTTGAAGAAAACAGTGATCTAACACAATGATCATTCTCATTGACAAAAGTGATCATTTCACTTGAGCTAGTTTTATTTTTGGTTCTCTCAAGATTATCATTGTCACTGAAGATTGCATGAGTATTAGTAGTTAATTGTCTATCGGTTGTACTCAATCCATTTGTTACTGATACATCAAATGATTCAAGCAACAATTCTTTAGAGAGTTCCGGAATATGCTGTTTTCTATGGGATCGTTGAAGTAGTGATAAGTTGTTAGTTGGCTTCTGTAGGCTAAATTGATTACTGGATGGATAGTATGTAGCTTTAGTTTGCTGATTGACTTTCTTCACTGTATTATTTGATAAACCGACATACTCACCGTCTCCATCGGTAACAATACCGGTAGAGGAGGAAGAGGAAGGTGCAAGAGTATTGCCAACACTGCATATGGCAGAAACTTTTTGACAATTGTTATCACCTGCATTTTCATCATCGACACTATTGTTATTAGTAGCAGAAGTAGTAGTAGTAGTAGTAGTAGTAGTAGTAGTAGTAGTAGCAGTAGTAGTAGTAGTAGTAGCAGTAGCAGTAGTAGTAGTAGTAGCAGTAGTAGTAGTAGCAGTAGCAGTAGTAGTAGTAGCAGTCGAAGTGGTAGTAACAATACTACCATGGTCTGGGAATAAACCTGTACTGGACAAGGTCAATGCATTGGAACCAACTGAAAATGTATTAACATGAGGATTACAGGCTATTACGTAATCATTTGACTGACTTAAGGCATTGGTTTGGCTGGTATGCAACATTATACTACGATTATTACTGGCGTGCTTAAAAGCAACATTCGGTCTGTTACACAGAGTAGACATTGCATTTATGGGGCTGACATTTGTATGGATGTTAACAGACATAGTATTACTCAAATTATGTGGAATATTATGAGTAGTTGAAGAAGTAGTCATATTACCATTATCATTCATTAGTCTATGCTCCAAATTGTACTCAGAATACACTGGATTCATTTGGCGCATTCGATTGTTTCGTCGAGTCTTTTGAATTGACAGGTTAGCCTTATTGTTCACGATAGTCTGGACTTCAAAGTTCGGACTGTCACTTGTGTACTGAAAATTGTCAATATGCTTATCATTATCATTGGCAGTGTTATTCTGAGCTGATGACACCATCTGTATTTGTAATAGACAAGGCAAACTTTGATCAGGACAGACAGCCTAAAGAAGAATAAGGTAGCAGAATTTCAAGTACCCTACTATCTATCTAAAACTATAAACAACATTTTGAGTAGTAAAAGCTTATTCCTTTTATCTCCCCAACACGCAATCACTAAAATTTTATTCAGGTTTGATTAGAACTAAAATACTTCCTAACTGTCAGTTAATAATCAATAACAGGTTAATGAGGGATTTTATCAAGAACCTATGCATCATAGGCAACGTAAACTTACGACATTATCCTAAGAAGAGGCCAATATCCCTACTCACTTCAAAAACTTAACTTTCAACCAATGAATCACATAATCAAACATTCGTCAACCTACCAAAGTTTTCACAACCAAGTAGTCACATTGACTATCACATACAATAGATATGACTCACTGCTTACTGTACAAGATTCGTCATTATACACCAGAACCGCTAGTTTGGTGCATTTACTTAACTTTCACTTCTTTCAACAGTTGAGGGAAGAAAAAGAAACGGGAGGTAACCGGTAAAATTAAAAATAGGATTTCTAAGCTTTGTGGGAGAAAACAGTAAGTGTGAATGAGCAATAATAACATTTTACCAAAAAACTCTAGTGAATAAAGTCGTTATCCTCTATAGTCTTGAGGAACCCACAGAAATCATAAACCCTAGAACATGTGTAAACTAGTAACGAATATGTAGACCAGGGACATACTCTATACACATACATTTACTGAGATATACCCCAAGCCAATACTTGATTACTCAATTCTCAATAAACAAAATAAGATGAAACTAACTAAAATGGTAAAGAAATCGGACTAAGGGATAAAGATGAGATAAACAGACAAACTGTTGGTTTCAGCATGCAAATTTTAAGGTCACAGTGTCAGGCCTCGACTCCAGCAACCAACGTCTGAGCAGCCAGGTAGTATTATTTGCCTGCTGTACGAATATGCAAGTGGTTAGTGAGTGGAGTTCGTTCTGGATGAAGTAGCTCATGGTATGAACCACACCCTTTAAACAACCGGTCACGGAATCGAATTCCACTCCATCTGCTTCAGCTTGGTTAATAGCGTAGCATCATCAGTCCTCATGCAACAAATTGGCTGCATAGTCTAGTATGTAAACATATATCAAGTTGAGTTAAATCGAAATAACTCTAAACTGAAACAAAAATATTGTCAGGAACAGAGGGATTATTATCATACCTAAGTGAAGTGACCAGATATGGGATACTGAAACAAAAAAAAGTAACGAAAAGAGAAAGTAGTAGAATGAAAATTTATAAAATCTCAAGAATTCAATGCACTTGTACTACTGTGGTTGGTTTTGAGCCATGACACCAAGCGTCTTCCTAATTATTAGTGAATAAGGGATAAATACTTTTAGAATAAGTTTCTCAAGATTCACGAAAATACAGCAAGTGAACGTGGTTACACCAGTAACATTACATTCCACCTTGCTGACCTCAATCAGGAATTTCAAAGTGACCCGGAAAACTTAAGATAATAGCTAATATTCTAGATATTGTATGCTACATATATATATTAAGGTACAACTGTGATTTTTACAGCAAAAAATATGATCAACAGATGACATCGTCTGGCTTACATTTGAACAATAGTTCAGAAAACTTTATCGGCAACCTGTGCGCGAATTACAAATCAAGTACTCTGTGCTTGTAAGGTTTGAATGGTTCCCGAGACAGTGAATTCATCAACATAATTAATAAAAGCATCATCAAATAACAAAATGATTTCAATGCGATAGATTAAGATAAGAAAAAGTAAATCACTTTGAAGTACTAACTATAGGGAGGGGTAATTAACCTTGATACTGTGCTTAATTTTCGTAGAAATAACAATCTAGAATTTCAACACCACAAAACTTGAACCTAGAGTTCGTAAGACTATCTAACACTAACACTTTGATAACGCTTATCGACTGCATATTTCTGCAGCAAAATGCACCGAAACAGCTGCTTTTTTAGCCAGATATCCAAGTATGGGAACTTTGTAACAACTGAGGGGTAAAATGTGATTCAGTGAATGTTCAAAGACAAAATTTCAACTTTGATATGAAATTAAAAGCTTTTCTCCGGGTCCTTACACTATTTTACAAAGCTAAGACTTACTACATAACTGTGTACACATATGCATTGTTGAATACAATAGAAATATCTGTGAGTTCTGGGATGAGTGAGAAACTACACATTACCATACGGTTTCGACTAGTTACTCAAATGGTATGGAACTTCGTGAAAAATAATCTCATTGTCTTTATGTAATAATATAGACGGAACAATTGAGAAACAAAGGTACGAAGCAGCAGCTGTTGCGATGAAACCTCACTAGAATAGCACATCAAAAAGATTACACTGGAACTAGATCCAACGTATCTTTCAGAACATGCACTCTACAGGATTCACCGTCTGTTTGGTAGTCTTCCTTAAGAAGGCTGGTCAAAAATGTTGGTATGACCTTCCAGTAACGTCCACACAATGCTACTAACTACTACTCGCATCTGTTCTAACGCGCCAAATATGTTTTACCTATCCTCACTTTTAAACCATTTTATCTATCCTTAGGTTCCTAAACAACAGGTCGGAGTCACAAAAAGATTTTATATCTTACTAGTAACCCAGAAACTTTCTCACATATCCAGTCTATAAAGTAGAAGGACGAGTAATACAGTAAGCACTAACCTCTAAAGAGCTAAACCCAGATAAGTATAAAAGAGATTCTCATCCACAGAAGGAGTACAACTTAACAAAGGAATCTATCTTCAAAGACAAAGAACGGGAGATCAAAAACTACCAGTTCCTTTTACTCTTACAAATGGCATTGATGGATTTATTATATTCTCTACACTTATTCATCAACTAATCAGTCTAAGTGAAAGTGAAATTAACACCAATGTCCATAGGTCAAGGGCACAAAGTGCTTCAAAATCAGATTACAGGGGACTTTCTTGGTACCAAATACTACTAGGTTTAAATAACAGATCAATACTAAAAACATTTAAATATTGGCTAGATAATCTTCTATGGCGTCAAAGGATATCTTTAGACTTTTTTCAATATGAAGGCATCCACCCCTTGATATCCGTCATTTTCATACCTTCTTTGGGCTGGTTAACAGCCGCATACTTCAAGTCCATAGTTCAACAAACTGTAGATAGATCCATTTTAACGTTTTCCCTTAACCTTTTCGTTTAAGATTAATCAATAAACTCCTATTCTGACTTGTTATATTATTTTTCCTTAACTTTCAGTACTTACACGTAGACAAGGTGACGATTAGTTGGTACTGGTGCAGATTAATTTATGCAAGGTCAGCCACGTGTTGAGCCTCCAACAGCACCAAAAGTGTGCTTAATATATTATGTTGGCAAGCAGATGTGTAAAATTCTTGTTAAGGTGTTCGTACGAACAATTACTAGTTAGTCACTCAAAATCAATGGTGTTTTTCATAAAAATATGACAATATTATTGGTGAAGTACAGATAGGCTTTATCATGATACTCATTTAAAAGATGTTATATGTATCACTTGAACAACCTTCATAATGTTAACCAGAATCCAAGACAACTGCTTCCATGTGAATCAAGCGCCGAAATCATATCAAAGATAGCAAATCTATCAACATACCTGTCTTTTGGGTGCTGAAGGCATGGATTCCTGGTCATCACACTGATTAGACAGACACCAGTAAGACCCTTTTCCAGGTTCATCTCTGGATCGAGGGATCTTGATGAAAGACTTGTTGAGTGACAAATTATGACGGATAGAATTCTAAGGAAAAGTTATTACTTTTGTGAAATGAAATCATACTTTCCAACCACTCCCAGCCTCACAATAATAAGGAAAGTTATCACAAATCCACTGATAAATTTCGCTCAGTGTCATTTTCTTTTCAGATGTACTTTGTATAGCACACGTAATTAGGCTTGCATAGCTATAAGGTGGTTTACTATCTGGTTGGTAGGGCGTAGACCCACAATCAGATTCAGTTTTATTTTCATCCACACTCACTGAATCCCAAAAGTCCATTTCGAAAGGAAAATCACTTTCAATAGAGGCCGTTAACATACTTATACTGAGGTTGGGAAGCCAATCTATGGCGGTCAGACTATTATCTGGGTCTGTCATAATCACCAGGTTCAACCCATTTCAAAAGAGTAAGTTTATATCACCAACGTTATAAACAAGGCATTAGATACCAAGACGAAAGTGAAACTATTATATTTCTCCTCTTTAAAGCCTCGCTTATGATTGATCTTACTGTAAATATGAAGGAGAAGTCACGTAAACGAACTAGGAAATGATCACCTGCAGACTTCTGATAAATTCAATATATGGGGCTTCAGCCTTCTGTGAAAAAGACAGTAGTTCATTGTCCTGTCTTAATGCTGGTAATAACTACTTACAATAAAGTTAGGGTCTTACTGAATTCTAATACAAGAAGACCTGCTATCACTTGGTTCAGCAGTGCGTTCCAGTAACATCACCATATGAAGGGACCAGTGCTCCACTAGAAAACGACTCAACTATGTCTGTCCGATATTTTTTGATGTCGTAGAAGGTGATCCTTGTAAGAATTAGCAGGCGAATTGGATATATCGATGCTTAAGGCATTATTATGAATACGAAAGGCCAAAATACGATGTTGAAAGGAAAAAGGTCTAGTCTTGTTGATTGCTCCTCATAATGAAGGTGGGCAAGACCTATTACTAATTTGATGCCAATTCACTGAACCCATTCCGGCGTATCAACTTCCTTCCTGAACAGTGAGCTGGCGGCCTGGATAGAGTTGTTTTGTCGTTTGGTTTCTCTGCTGCGGGGGTTAGGCAGTCTCTTCTCTCCTGCTACTCATTAATACTTATATGAAAAACTGTGATTTGATGCCCGTAAACCGGCTTCTCTCACGTTAAATTCATGGCCTGAGAATGAAATATTTGTTCATTTATTTGCTCAAAGATTCTCATCATTTTTGAGGATGCAGTTAATGCACCTAGTGGTGAAAATTCTCTGGTGAAGTTACGTACCGGGTTTTCTTCATCCCAGGTAGCGGTAATCCCCAGGCTGAAAGGAAGGTTTTTTATCATGCAAGCAATTCACGTCAAATTTTCGTGTTCTTCCATACGCATAGGATTTTCTGGCAGAGGTGAAACTCGTGTTTATGAAATATGTAAAAACGTCGTGCAAAGAAAGTCATGCGTTTTGAATAACGTCGTGCTTCGTTCATCTCCAATCTAGAGGCAATACTACGGTGCTTATCAATGGAAAACAGCCGTCAACCATGTCGTAACAACAAATGCAATGAACTTGGTCAAGCGGGCGCGAGAACTGCTACTTACAACGATGCAGTTGTTTTCTCAACTTGGAAATACTTCCTGCTGGTGGTTTGTAGTCGTCTGGACCGTCCAACTGCTACAGCTTCTGGCTCTCTTCGAGGGTCTTTCACCAAAAAACATCTCTCTTAGTGTATACATACTCACCTGGAGTATTAGTTTAAAGTGAGAGAAACTGAATATCAAGTTCCTGCTTGTAAGCTCTCTTCTTTACTCGTTATTGCCTTTTTCATTTATATTGTTTATACGTTAAGCCACTTTACTATGATGGCACAGAAAGCTAGGTCAGAGGCCCTAAGTCGTATAACGAGGGCTGCAGGGGACATAATCTGCAAAAAAGATGGGCGCAGCAATACTCCTGCCATATGGGCTCCCTACAGCACCATCACACCAAACACAGCACTTGTCAAAATCAGTAATCTGATGAATTTGGGGTGATAGTAATGCGTCTCCAAACACACCTCTGGCTAAAAATAAAGCATGGGGGAAACGCGCATGTCTACCAGCAAATATACTGGCAAGTGCGACGCCTGACCTCACTCACAGAAGCCAAACCACTCAGTTGTAAGCAAACGCAAACCTCTGACGACTGTGGTGTTTTTAAGGAATCGGAGCCAGAGGCTAAAAAAGCCTTTGAGTGCAACATCTGTCTAAAATGGGTAGGCTGTAACAGTAATAATGGTATGCCAGGTCAGTACCACAGCTTTATGAGGGAACACTCATGTAAGTAGATGCGGCGTATATCTCCGGAATGTCGGAAATAACCTGCTATTACCACTGGCGACCTGGAAAACCTGGTACAGCCAAACATGTTATAAGGTACGGGCACCCACAATCTACCCTCAGAAACTGGTTAAGCTCCACAAGTGCGCAAAAGTGTCGCCCCTAGGGGTGAGAAGAAGCCAGCTCCCACTCAAAGTGAGGCACCAACAAGGCCCTCCCACGCATCGATGCAACCCAGACGATCCAACGGAACCGAACGACCCGAAGAAATAGATTGTGTTGAGAACTTATGGACGGGGGTAAATAGGGTAAAGCGTAGACTGAAGGCGCTGGCTAGCAAGCCCAACACCCTTCACCTGCAAAGCATTTCCCAACAAAGATTGCCAGCTGTATTGTTTGATTACAAAGCATCACTAACAGAGGCTCCTACAGCATGATACCATGTGGAAGGTCAAATAGAAGGTGCTAAACGACGCCACAAACGTTAACCATGGTATGCCTGACTGGAAGACTGGACGCAACCTCCAAGAACACTGCAGACAGCACTAGACACAAAAGAACTAGCTAGTGAACTGCCTGTGGACAGGTATCCTGGTGAACAATACTGCCACACCAACACCAGGATGCCAAGAGGGACCGAAAACCGGAGACCCCCCAGTCCAGTTGGGACTAGCAGTCAGAATCCGATGCAACGGTACACCAGCCTCCAACCAAGTCTCGGAACGTAGCTTTTAGACCTGCTTCTACAGCAGTGTAAGAGGTCCTAGGAGTAAACTACTGGAGCTAAAATCAAAGTGCCACAATCCGCGAGCAGATATTATCCTCATCACGGAGACGTAGCTCTCACCAGACTTCGTGGATGAGTAAATATCTTTGCCTAACATGACCTCGTTCCAAAAGGACAGATAGTTCAAAGGAGGCGGAGGAGTTGCCATGTACATTAGCACTCATCTTAGAGTCAAGAAAGTGGTTGTCAGTGCGTTCGGCTTGCTACCAGACTCCTGATGGTGCTATTTCACCATAATCCAAACCAGGCGCCTATTAGGAGTGTTATATAGGCCTCGCCTTTGCACGATGAGGCATAAAGCACTATTGCTCAGCACCACTTCAACAACCACCCCGAGAGCCCATGGCTAAGCAGTCCTCGCTGGAGGTTTCAACACACAGGCACTCAGTCAGGGATATTTATGCAAGATGTGGGTGTTAGTCCTTCGAACGTAAACTTTGAAGCAGGTTTGTGGCAGCAGGATTGATAGGGAAGGTTGGGGAACACCAAATGGGGATCTGATGGAAACAGCCAACCACTTGACTACGTTCTAACGGACGATGATCTCTTGGCAAACGATTCCTGTGTCGAACCCCCTCTAGGTAGAAGAGACGACGCCTTGGCGAGATTCTTCCTGATAACCAAGGAGAAACCACCAACAGTTGAGCCAGAAGTGTTCCACCATCACCGAGAACCGGACTACCATCTCGTCAACGACGACCTCCTGGAGGCTGCATGGCTACAAAAATGGCACTCACTATCGATAGGCGAACATTGGATACATACTAAAGACATTATCAGGAACGCTGTCGGAGACAGTGTTCCGAAAGCAACCAGACGACCACTTCTCAAGCAGTCATCGGTAACCCGCCAAACCTGGGGTAAATACAGAGAAAACGGACGGCATGGTATCGGTGGTGCACATGACACAAAGGATCAGATTTCCTGAGATACGATATGCTGCACAACTTGTGTAATATAAGAGTTCGCGACGACGGGTACACATACCACCGCAACCTGGCTGTACGCCTGAGTTACGATCCGAAAAGTCTAAACCGGTTTGTGTCACAACGCGAACGACTGATAGGAGTTTAAACCTGATCATGGGACCTGCCGGGGAACCTTTGAACATCAGTGAGGTAGCGGAACTGTTGAGCAGCCAATGTGACGAGCGACTCAACACAGTAATACATCCACTATCAACATCCAGTAACGTGACGAAGTTCCAGGACTATGATACAAAGCTGGTGAGTGTAAAGATTTCGTCAAACCAAGTGTTTGCCGAATTTTAACGCTGAGAATAGGGAAACCTAAGGGCAGTGAAGAGATAAGACCCGTGGTATTACGCAACTGTGCTGAAGTGCTAAGCATACGCTCACTGGAAGCAAGTTAACTCCCTCAAGAAACAAAACGGCGCTATCCTTTCAACAATCTTCAAGGGGCGGGGACCGAAAAACTTGTGCAAACACGGGCCAATAGCATTTCTTCCTACACTTTCCAAGGTACTAGAAAGCCTATTTGCGAATGTTGTCTGGGGCTACCTGAGCGGAAACAACACAGTACACCCCACTCAACATGGCTTCGGAACCCTACGGTTGTGCGATGCAAACCTGACGACCGCTTGGGATGACTGGTTCACTTAGTGGGACAACAGGCAGCCAGTCCACACTATCTTCTTGGACTCGTTCAAGGCTTTCGATAGTGTCCCACACTGCACCATTTTCGCTAAACTTCCAAAGTGGGCATCACCGAACCACTCTGAGCATAGTTTGTGGTATACCTAGATGACAGAGAATTCCGTACTAAAGTAAACAAAATTCGGTCAACCTGGAGGAATGCAAGAACGGAAGTTTCTCAAGGAGCGATCCTTGGGCCGCTCCCACTTGTACTATCCATAAATGACCTTCTTAGTGAAATCTCCTCGTTTGTCCTCCTATTTGCCGATGGCCTTAGAATATAGAGGACAATAGGTGAGGAAGAGGATCCTAGGATACTCCGAAACGACCTGTTGTAACTGAAGTCCTGGCCAGCTGCAACCGGTTTAAGCTATAACCCGGTGAAATGCGGGGTGATGTATTTTCGCACGCCAGAGGCGATGAAAATCAGTTGCGTTCTTATCGCATGTGCAACCACTAAGGTATCTATAGTGAAGAACCCAGGGCTAGGCTTTTCTGACACACCGGATAATAGTGACGATTATGAGGGAATAACAACAAAGGCGAACACCAGTATGTACTTTCTGAGAGGACAGCATGGATCGTTAAGCCCAGAATTATTCCTTATGGTATTTAAAGGCTATATTGGACCACATCTGGAGATGTTCAGCACGAAAGCTTCCG